CTGGAGCGCAGTTGCGGAAATTCGGCTATCGCAGAGCTATCCATGTGATTTACAAAGTACATCGCATGAGAGGTTTAACATCCCCAATTTTACGTAACTTTACATCACTGGTATGTGTCGGTGCTGGCTGGGGAAGATATTTGGAAAAAAAACGAAATTTTGCAAAATCGGCTTTATTTTTTGCTGAACGATTTTGGATTCTTATTTCAAAATGTGTATGTTCAATATCTTAAAATCCGTCATATTGTATCAAAATTTTCAGGAATTGTAGCTCCTATATTAAGCTCTAAAAAACCTGTTTTGGAAAATATTTTAAGGCTTAAAGTTTTTGAGAAAATTGAGTTTGAAGTTTTTGACTAAATTTCGAATAAAATACAACTATGAAGCTCAATTGCTCAAAAAGCATTTGAACCCAGACATAAGACTCCTTCTCCAGAACCAAATGGAATTATACCAGGAAGATCAACAGAAGATTCACAATTTGACTGGACAAACTCCGCAGGGCATTTCAGAACAAATAGCACCCAAACATAAAATTCCTTCTCCAAAACCAGGACCAAGTGGAATTGTTCCAGGCAGATTGAACATCATATTACGTAATAGATTGTCATCAAATTCTTCTGATTCTGAATGTAGTTTGAAAGAAGTTGCTGAATATAACTTAAGCGATGATATTGATAAAACCCTGAAAATTGAAGAAAAAAAGACAAATACTTCTTTTCGAGACTTATGTTCAGCTCTAGTCTTTCAACCAAGAACTTCACAGCAAAAAGGCAACATTTTCAAATATCAACATCTAATCAGCTCGAAAATAAGACATCTTAGAAGCCAAAAAAGGAGGAAAATGAAAAATTAAAAAAAGTTACAAGAAAAATTACGGGTAAAGGGAAAACGCCAGTTGGAAAAAAGAAAAAAGTAGGTGATGATATCTGCACTGTTTGTGAACAATTTTGATATGATTTTGCATGGAGATGCCGTTCTTGTGCGTGTGTGAAAAAGCGTCTGTATATATTTGTGACCTATGCTCGGTGTAAAAACGTTTAAATTAAATTAATTTCCAAATATTACTGTTTGGTCGATGTTGCCCTTCACCATGGTCAATATTATCCTACCGGTCGAAATTACCCCACTTTTTTTCCTATTTCTAAAAACAGGGTTGGATGAACCCACCGGGATACCGGGAAACTCCCGGTGGGCCGATCGGAATGTGGGCCAATCTTTAGAACAACAGGATTATCAAGATACCTGCAAACCAAAGTCTGAGATCAAACGGACGGCCTCAATATTATGAAAGCACATATAAGAATGGTCAATTCAACTGGTGGCGCATTGAAAAAAGAACAACACAACATGAAAAAAGTATGACGCGCTAAGAATGTTTGACAATTGGGCAAATACAGGACTGGAAGCAAATGAAAGTGACGTAATAATTCAAGACTCATTATCCGCAATTCATTCTCATAAAAAAAAAGGAGATGCCGCGACTGTTTTACAGGGGGAATTTAAAGATTTTGGAAGAAAATGTCCTGACTCGAAAAGGACGGAGTTGTATGACTTCTCTGGATCCAATGATGGAGATGAAGATAATGTCAATGACATAGGGTTGCATAGGGAATGAACTTTCTGAAAAAGTGTTAATCACATTCACTTTGCAAACAATATTTGGTTTGCTGCTTTAATGTTTCATATAACTACAGATTATACAGTCATCTTCAAGGCCTTTACCAGTAGGTCCTTATTTTAGCGTGTTCACAGGTAGGTTGCGAAAAATGCTTTTCAACACTTGAAGATATAATAAATCGGTTAGGGAATCAATCGACTTAGAATGGAAAATTTGGATGCGTTGATGATGATGATAGTGAACTTACACAGCGCCGGTTTAACCATTAGGCGGACTAAGCGGCCGCCTAGGGCCCGGGCGCTCAATGGGGCCCGAAATTCACTCTGAAATCAAATATCTTATTTTGGCAACCTTGCGCCCTGAGACGCATCACACCACCCGAATTACGCACACTATCGGCAACACTGTTCTGTAGCTGTGGGATTCCCAACTCAGGTAGAGTCCATCCAACCTTATGTTGCTGATGAACATCCGTTAAACGAGTAATAGATAATAGATACGAGATGTTCCACTACCCAGACAGCACACAAAGTCTTGAAGACGTCTTTTCTAGGGTCTGTATTACGATTACGTCTGAACGTCTGAAGACCAAAAAAAGACGCCTAGCAGAAGACGTTGTTTTGAAGATGTCCATATAAAATGTCGTAAATTCATATCTTTCTCTCTTTGAGACATCTCTTTGAAGATTTGAAGTAGTTTTAGAATGTCGTAGTGCTGAAGACATCTCTAGGCAGATCTCTGGAAGACGTTGAGTTTTGTTGCATTACGAGTACGTCTTCAAGATGTCTTTGAGACGTAGGCAAGACGTCTTGAATGTCGTTTATGGACATCTTAGGGACGTCTTTGGGAAAAATTTGCCACAGAATTCGTTTCTCATTTAATTTAGAAGTTACTGGAAACCATTTAAAATGCTACAGAACACTTTAGAACTTTAATAGACCTTTTGGAAAGTTCAAAATATTTAAAATTAAATTCAGAATTTCCAAAAGCATTCTGTAGCGCTTCAGAAAATTTTGGAAATTTCAGAACCATTTTAGAATGCCCCAAAACATTCAAACGCCGATTTCCAAAAGTATTTTAGAACTACTCAGAAGGTTCAAGCCCATTTCAGGATGCTCCAAAACACTCAAACTCAAACACTCTGGAATCCCCAAAAACATTTTGAAAAGCGCCAGAATCTTAGGATTCAGATTAAAAATTACAAAACGCCTTTCAGAAGGATTTTTAGAGCAAATTTTGATTGCTGATGTAGAACTTTAGAACTCTTTAAAGGCATTTAAAACAGTTCAAATCTAAATCAGAATTTTCAGGAGCATTTTGGAGCAATTGAGAAACTTCAGAGTTATTTTAGAACAATTTCAAAGTTCTAAATTGAATCCTAATTTAGAACTGGAAACCTTTTAGAACTTTTTTGAACCAATTTAGAACTTTTTGGAGCTTCAATAGGGCTCTAAAATACTTGAAAATCTGTCAGAACAATTTAGAAATTAGGTACTGAAAAACTTCTAGAATGCTCCAGAACTCTTCAAGCCAAGTTAGAACACTTTAGAACTGCAAAAAGTCATTTAGAACTTCGAAGAGCGAATCTTGATCTTAACGCCATCTAGGACACGATAATCAACACTATTAATTAATCCAAAAAACTTTTCTCAGTCATTTAGAACGTTCCAAAACACTTTCCAGCAGCATTTTGAAAGGCTTTTTTTTTCAATTTGGACAAAAACAGTAAAAAGTTACTTTGGGCTAAGGCCCCATACCTTCTGCCGCCTAGGGCCCGGTAGAGCCTTGAACCGGCGCTGAACTTACATAACGAAATCTTAGGATTGTTGACTTTTGAGAAGATTCTTATGGAAATGTTCAACTAAGGCCCCTCATTAAAGAAAAAATATCATTATGATTGATTGAAATCATCTTTGAAATAAAAAAACAAGATAAGAGTTATTTCTTAATTTTCCATTCTGCGTTTCCATTCAGCATTTTATTGTTTTTTCACTGTCGTTATTATATTATTAGAATACATCTACCTAAATGTGGGGATGTGCCCCATAAATCCATCAATGTATGGGCCGCTAGACTAAAATTTCCCGGCCCACTTCCAAAAGTTCGTCCAACCCTGTTTCCTTACCTCAATATAAAATGATGAAATCCGATCAGCTTCTTCATCACATCCATATCAGTTATCGATTCGAACCTCCCCTTATTTTCGACAAAATTTCTGAAGACATATTGCAAAATTCTCAATTAATATTTAACAAAAGACGAAATGCTTATGTACCTACAAAACTTGTGTCATGCAATAATAAGCCGCAACCTCTGCAAGAAAAATAGACTATCATCGTATTATCAAAGACGCTCCATAGTGTTTCTCTTGGTCAAATGGTAGCCTGGCAAGAAATAATCATTGGTTTTTTAATTTCCAAGTCTTTTACTGTCAATCCACGGTTTTCATTACTAAAGATGAAGCGGTGATACCAGTAAAAACGGTGATACCAGTAAAAAGCTTGTATACGTAATTAACATATCCAGATAGGTGAATCTTATTCGCGGGATTATAGATATGTATTAGTAAACATATTCTGTTCTTCTTCAATAATTTTATCAAAGAAATATGGAAACCTACAGCTTTGAAATATAGTAAATTTTCCTAATGGTAAAATACATTCAATTTCAAGTCAACAGGTACCTATGTATTTGTACAGAATCTTACATATTTCTGACAATTCCTCAGAGGAAATGTAATTTTCTATTTAGGAGTAGGTAAATTACTAAATATAGTATATTTTGGATTTGAGATTCTTCTTCTTTCTATGATAATTATATATATAGGTATATATATAATTATCGGTTTATAACGTTCTACGTCTTCCGATTTCCGATCTCCAACCATATCTGTCAATCCAGGGCCCAGGCATCCTCCTCTAAGCCTCTGTCTGTCATTTCTTCCTCTACTCCACCCCTCCAGCTTCTTCTTGATCTTCTTCCCCCTGGCTTCCACTCAATAATTTGCTTGGGTATTCTTGCATCTGCCATTCTTTGTACATGTCCGAACCAAATTAGCTCTTTGTCCTCTATATCATCTACTATTCGTCTTTTACGTCGATAATCTGCCTAGATGTCTTATCCTTTCCAATTTTGACCTGCCTGCCGCTCTCCTCCAAAAGTCCATTTCAGTTGCCTCCAGCATTTTTGCTGTTCTGTTCTTTAGTATGTGACTATGATTTGTGTGCTTATTTCCACCCCTAGCAATTACGAACCCTACCACTGTAGCCACTCTGGTAAAAATCTGTAATAAATTGGAAACCTATCGCCAACAATCAACATCTTAAACAGTGATACCAGGGCGGGCAATACACTAAACTTGCAAGTAGAATGAAAGTTGTTGCATTCAAAAACTTTATTAATATTCAATTTACTTTTACCCATGCAGTTGTGACAAACAATTAACTAAATATTTATTGATACCTGCTCAACTAAAAATCTTATTATACACTTATTATTAGGTACATTCTATTCAATTTAAAAACAAAAAACTCAGAAATTATAATTCTTCTACATCATATTTGTGTAGTTTGATTCTCCATTGTTTGATCAAACCATCCCAAGCTCTCCGTGAATATTTTCCATGCTTTGGCGGTGTTCTCGGATCATCCATGCTTCTTTCAGACCTGAGAAAATTTATTTAAACATGAAAACTGAACAATTTTTGAACCAAGAACATACTTTGGAACCGTCCTAATGTAATTTTCATATCCATTGGTGTTTTTACCATATTCAATTTGTTTTTCTCTTTTGGCAATTACCACTGGATCAGTCTCGAGTTCTTTTTTTTGCATTTTTCTAGGACTGCAACTAAATTTTACAAATCGTACTTTTAAAATAATAAATTAATCATACCGAGGCTTGTCTTTGCTATCATCGGACTGTTCATCGTCTGTTTTTTTAGGACCCAGACGACTTCTGATGGACGGTTTCTCTTCTTTTTCAATATCCTGGATTTCATCTGGTTCATTGCTTGTCTCTGGTTTACGTTTTGTAGAGCCATTGGAGGTATTTTCTTGTTTTGAGTTTTCATCCATTTTTGACTCCTATAAAAGAAATCTGAATTGAATAGAAATTTGTAAGGAAATTTGTCTCATGACGTCATGAAGAACATAATCTTATTCTGCATATCGTCGGCATCATATGAAAATTGCCCAAGTCCAAAAAGGTAAATTTTACAGCAGGCGCAAAAAACCTTTGTGAAGAAAAACTACATGATACAAATCGTAACAAATCACCGGCAAAAATGCACAAAAAAGATTGGACTTACACAAGTTTCACTCTGTCCTATGACGACGACGGACTTGTGCAAATTTCTTTTCATGGTTGTGTGGCTCCATCCAACAATTTATCTCCCAAATATTTTGTTGGATCATAGATTATTGAGTTTCTCACAAGACTGAACTAAAATCTTAATTTTGAAAAAAATTGGACTTAGGCAATTTTCATATGATGCCGACGATATGTTGCCACTGAAACCAATAATAAAACAGCCGATGCAAATTATACCCAAAGAATTATATTCAATTTATCAGACACAATAAGGTTTATTCTCACGTATTATGGAATTTTTTCTTTTATTTTTTAACATGGGAATGTACTGAGGTATGTAGCTGAGTATTTTATTTTATAGGAATAGAAATTAGTAATGACCAGCAATCACTTCTAGACCTACTTATACAACAACAACTTGCACCTCTGGGGAATAGTGACCAGTATTTACAGCCAAAGCACAACTGCTGTCAACAACAAAACTAAAGTGAGCATAGAGATAACAGGAAAAACTTGTGAACAAATAAAAACCTCAACATAATTGATAAAGCAACTCAACAATCATTTGAAACAAACCAAGAAACTGGAGAATGCTTTGCAGAGCAATTTGAAAGTGTATACACATTATTGGATCAGAACACAATTAAACCCAAACTTCCCTAAGAAGCCTACTTCAGGACTGAAATAACGAACATCATATTTACCTACAGCAGAAAAAGTAGAAACTGCAATCAAATCACTAAAACCAAACTCTAGCCAGGGCTTGATGACATCACACCAGTTTTTTTTTTCAAGAATTGTGTACAAGTACTGAAAAAGCAATTGTCTCACATGCTCAACATCATAATGAGCACAAGAGAGTTCCCTTTCGCTTGGAAGAAAGCCGTGATATCACTAATATGCAAGAAAGGAAACAAACAACATGCAGAAAATTATAGACCAATCAGTCAATAACAGCCAAAGAACTGACTTTCTACTGTTTTACCTGCTTTCTCCCATGAAAATCAACATTATTAAACTGGCTAACCAGACTAAATGAGTGGCTGATGACAATGCTCTATAATTTGGAACATTTTGGAGTTAGGGGTGAACTTCTGAGGTTGTGTGAAGACTTCCTCACTGAACGTACTTTCCAAGTAGATAATTGTGGACTCCTCACTTTTAAAAAAGCACAAAGTACACAGCGGTGTTCCTTAGAGATCAGTCATCGGCCCACTGCTGTTCATAACATATAAGTGATCTTTATCAAGGGCTTCACACCAACAATGCCACATTTGCTGACGATGGTAACCTATTCACAAATCCACTGCTACATCAAGCTGAATTACAAATGGATCTTAGGGACATTAAAGTGTGGACACATGAGTGGAAGATGCCTCTGGAAGATTATAAATCCACTTTCCTACATATTGGCCTTTAATTATTTCTTTGAACAAGCGAAAATAATGTCAGTAACAAAACAACAAGACCTAGGAGTCAGTTTAACATCTCACCTAAAATGAGATAAACATATCAAACAATTGTCCAAAAAGGCTAATTCAATGATCTAGGTACCTTATTTGGACAGCGTTTGAAGATCTATCAAAAGAAATGATCTTGAAACTTCAAAAGTTGTCTACAGTGTCTCCTGCTTAAGGACTGACCACCTCTCTAAAATTTTTATTTTTCAACTGATTGAATTTTTTTTTTGTCTTATAGCTACTCGAATTTGGCACTTATTAGGCTCATAATTTTATTTCTGCAGCTGTAATGGTGTACAGGGTGTCCACATTTATAGGCTCAAATTTCAATTAATACCATTGGGGATTTTTTTAGAAAAAATCTGATAGCAGATTCTTGTTTAGAATGGTCTAAAACCCAAATGTACCAATTTTTATTTCAATACGATACAGGGTGATGACAACAAATTTTCACAATTTAATGAATCAAACCACAAAAATGTTATATTTTGAGACAAGCTTGCTACAAGTTTTGGTTACGGATGTTCTGAAACTATGTTGCATTAAGTTTCGTTGTTCTCAAGGCCTCAAAATATGGTTTGATCCATTAAATTTTGAAAATGTGTTGTGTTCACCCTGTATCATATTGAACAAACATTTGGATTTTAGGCCATTCTAAACAAGAATCTGCTATCAGATTTTTTCTAAAAAAGTCCCTAATAGTACTTATTGAAATTTGAGCCTATAAATGTGGACACCCTGTACACCAGTACAGCCGCAGAAATAAAATTATGAGCCTTATAAGTGTCAAATTCGAGTAGGTATAAGACAAAAAAAAATAAATTGAATCGGTTGAAAAATGAAAATTTTAGAAGGGTGGTCAGTCCTTGAGCGGGAGACACTGTATAAGACCAAATCTTGAATATGCCCAAACTATCTGGAACCATAGTCTGGAACCCATACTATGTGAAAGATATAGTTCAAAGAAGAATATCTGAAGATCTGCCGTATGAGGAAAGGCTTGTAAGATTAGACCTCACAAATTTAAGGGACAGGAAAGTCAAGGGTGATCTTATTGAAACACATAAAATACTCAACGGTCACTATGCCTAATCTGAAACATCTTCCCCCTTAGTAACAACACAAATCGAAGAGGTTATGATTAAAAGCTTTCTAAAGAAAAATGCAATAGGCTCCTGTGGAGAAATTTCCTTATCAAGTAGTCTACAATTGAAACTGCCTGAGTGTTGACACCATTAACTCTACCTCCAGAAATCAATTCAAGAATCGTCTCAGCCAGAAAACAAGAAATTGAACCACATCTTCCTTTATGCATCACTGTAGTCCAAGGTTTAGACTAAAGAAACAGAACTAAGACTGTGATAGCTCTCTAATCAAATACAGCAGTCTTATCGGTTTTTCAAAAACCGCCTACTGCTGTAATTTTCTTACCTAGAATTTAGAAATGTGAAAACATGGAAACTTTAAAATAGCTTTAATCGCATCAACATGAAAAAATTAATCAAACATTAATAGGTATATTGTCTTGGTCATTATCAGAAACTTGCAAACCATCACTAAATTCAAGTAAGATTGCTTATTGTCGATTCCGAATTCTTTCCCTGTTATCTATGAAATTTGTAATCTGAAATAGCTTTGTTTTGAATTTAGGAGTATTTGTGAATTACAATTTTCAGCAGCTCATTTCTATGAATAAAATAAAAAAGCCCTTATCACCAGATTTTACTTAGAAGTCCCATGTACTACGTTTTTAATGTAGTAGCGTTGAAGATTCTTTGTAGTTTAAAATATCAAAATATCCCCCCATTGAGGAACCACAATACAAGAAAAATTACTACGTTATTGCTATTAAAAGAAACAAGAAAATACTATCTCCACCTACTGCAAATTTTCCTTTCAAGCAAATTAGAAATTTGGGAAACACAAACTTTTTTATAAAACTGCTGGATTTACACACAAGATCACATAACCTTACACAAAAAATAAATCAAACACAATCATTTTTTAGCGCCAAAATGCAGCGGATTGACATTGACATTTGTATGAAGAAGATTTGCAAGGATAATACATACTACTAACCACTACATTAATTAACACCCTAGCAACTCTTTTTTAGATCTCGTTTGACCTGACGACTTAGTTATGACGTCGAAATGGTGACACACCAATATGGCAGAAATTACAAAAACGAGGCCGATAAGCAATCCTTAGTAGTGTGTGTTATCCTTGGAGGATTTGGTGCATTTGCTGGGGCGTGGTAAGTAAAAATTATGAATATTTTGGTTGAACTTTTGGAGTGAGCTCCGTTTACTCAATTTCGTGCGTTCGGAGTACTTAGAGTGCACGGAGTGAGTCAACCGAACCCAGCTGCATTTTTACATGCTTTTAAATGCCTGAAATAAAGAAGTTTCAGTGCAAATAGTGTTATAAAACTGTTTGGTTGGTTCTATGGGGTTCTATGTGCTGCGAAGAAAGAAAAACAAAGAGAAAGCACCTTCTTGGAGCCGGCAACATTGCATATTAAATATTTTGACTTTTGATGTTGATGACGTGTTTACGTGTTCTTGTCCTCCGGTGTTTTTATCAAAAGATTACTTTTGGAGATCTTTTTCAATTTCTTGTGAATTTTCCGGTTTCATTATTCCACACCGACCTAAATTAACTTAAACTAAAACTTCTCAAAATGGCCCAAATCAACGCGGTTTTATCAAAGTTCTACAACGATTACATGTCAAAAACTTCGAAAAAATTAAAAGTTATTGATGCTTATCTATTTTACATTCTGCTCACTGGAATCATTCAGTTCGCCTACTGTGTACTTGTTGGTACTTTCCCATTTAATTCATTCCTGAGTGGATTTATTTCAACTGTAAGCTGTTTTGTTTTGGGAGGTAAGTCCACTAAGAATTCAAATTGGAACATTCTGGTATGAAGAGAATTACTTAATTCTTCTTCTTTCTTCAAAAAATTAATATCAATTTTCTTTCTCCAGTATGCCTAAGACTACAAGTCAACCCAGAAAACAAGAACCAATTCCATGGAATCAGCCCGGAAAGAGGATTCGCAGACTTTATTTTTGCACATGCAATCCTGCATTTAGTTGTAATGAACTTTATTGGTTAAATTAAATTGGAAAAAGTATATTTAAAGTTATAAAATAAAATTTCTATTAAAGAACTTTGTGCTTCTGTACCTAAACAACTAAGAAAGGGGGATTCATTTTTCCTTTTGTCCAGAAATTATTAAACTTTATTTTGGGTTCATTGAAAAGCTATTAAGTTTTGGAAAATATTTTATTTCAAAAAATTCACTTGATTCAATCATCTTTTATTTTTCTTTCCTGGCTTTCCACCAAACTTCCCACCCTGTTTCTTTTGCTCAAATTTTGGCTGATACCTCAGCTTTTTGGCATTTTTAGTATTAACCAAATCTCCAAAATGTGATTTCCTCTTTTTAGTATTGCCACCTTTATTAGTACTAAATGAATCGTCGCTCACAGCCGCTATTTTCTTTTGCCTTAGTTTTTTCTTCAAAGATCTAGCTTGGGCAGCAGCAATTTTTGTTAGTTCGGCATTTTCCGGATCATTGTCTTTGGCTCCTTTGCCCAATTTTTTGTCCTTGCCCTTGCCAGATTTGGCTTTAACAATTTTGTTTTTCTGTTTTAGCTTTTCTTGTTCCTTCTTTCTTTCTTGTTTTGATTGGAACCAGGGACGTACCACATCTTTTTCACCAGAAAGCATCTTCTGCATTTTGTTTGCCTGATTTTCAGCTTTACTCAATTGCCTTTCCTCTTCTTCTTCACTTAAGATTTGTGCAATTTGCGGTTCCAATTTTTTGATTTTTAGTTTGTACTTTTCAATAATATCTGGAGGTATTACACGATTTTTTACAGGATATCTGGCACGTTTTATTATGTCTTTAACCATTTTTCGTTCTTGTTCACCAGCTAAACTTACTGAAACACCAGCACGACCTGCTCTTGCAGTTCTTCCTACCCTAAAAAAAAAAAATATTCATTTAGAAAAAAATCATTAAATTTTTTCAACAAATTACCTGTGAATGTAATGTTCCAATACAGAAGGCATCACAAAATTAATAACAGTTTTAACACCAGGAATATCTAAACCTCTAGCAGCTACATCAGTAGCTACTAAAATATCCACTGATTTGTCTTTAAACTTGTCTAGGGCCTCTAAACGTTGAGGTTGGGTTAGATTTCCATGCAATTCTGCTACTTTAAGTCCTAAAAGTCCCAATAAAATATGAATATGGTGGGCCTGTTTTTTTGTTTTAACAAAAATCATGCAGCTGTCGCGGAATGTTCTGCATACTAAGGCCCCAAGTAAAGCTTCCCTGTCTTCTTCATTTCTGTAGAGAACTATTAAATAACATAAAATTGTATAAAATACCTAAATAGTTTACCTTATTCTGATAAATTCTTGCCTTAAATTAAAGGCAACATCTCTGTTACTGTCAACAAATAACCTAACAGGATCCACCAAAGAAACTGCTGCTAAGTTTTCAACTTCGTCAGTCATTGTAGCAGAGAATAATATTGTTTGTCGGTTCCTGGAGCATTGCTTTACAATTTCCTTCATTTGTTCTGCAAAATATTCGTCCAACATACGATCGGCTTCATCAAGAATCAGCACTTCAATCGATTCCAGTCCAAAAGTTGGAGTACTTTTCAGATGGTCTATAAGACGACCTGGAGTTGCTATTACTATATCAGGGTTTTTTCTCAAGATGTTCTCTTGGATTTTTAGGTCAAGACCACCAACAGCCAAACCTAAAATGGAATATTGTATAGAAGCAAGGATTAAAGTCAGATTTTCAGCAAAATCGTCAAATGAAAAAATTGTAAAAAATAGCAATGAAAGCTGCCAAGCACTCATCTGCAGTTACCAACCTCTAACAACATTTTTTTATTTATTTTTGCTTATGAGAAATGTTCATTGACTATCTGTTTCAAACCCATACAAAGTAGGTAGGTACCACCACAAAAAAATAATGCCCAAAAACTACTGTTAACTAAGACAGTATTTAGGGAAATAAAAAAGAAGAGACACCAAACAGTACTTTTCCTATGTTGACTCTAAACACATTCACTTCAGTTTTATTGAAAAAGCAACTCTAGTCCCATTTGAATCTGACCAGGCGGTTGCAGAGTGTTTTGCACAGTAATTCCAGAGGGTTTTTACTAAACTCAGCCCTACAGATATTAGACCAGCAGTTGAATCCTACTCTAGAACAGAAATCAACACCATAAATTTCACCTCAGAAAAAGTAAAAATCATCATTAAGTGCGTAAAGGTGAACTCTAGTCCTGGACTTGATGAGATCCCTCTTATATTTCTTAAAAATTGTTTGCACATTAGAGGGGGCTCTGGCAGTACTTATGAATGACATAATATTCACAGCAGATTTTCCATAACCTTGAAAAAAAGCAGTTGTTACACCATACACCATACCTATATTCAAAAAGGGTAACAAAAAGCTGGTAGAACACTACAGACCAGTCAGCCTGACCACTGCCCTATGTAAATGGATGAAAAAATAATTGCTAAGGAACTCACAAGCTTTTTTCTCAAAGCTCATACTGTACCACCCCAACAACATAGTTTTCTTTCTAAAAAACCTACTTTTATGAACCCCCAAACCAGACTTAATATGTAGACAAAGGCGGATGATGAGAATTATCCAATTGATGTAGTTTTACTTGACTTTGAAAAAGCATTTGATGAGATATCAACAATATACTTATTATACAAGCTATATCATCTTCTTCCCCCACTAACGCCACGAATATCAGAGGACATAACCAGAAACTTGAGCAGGAAAGATGTAACAAGTTACTAAGAAATTTCTTAGTGGTTTATCAGTGGAATAGACTAAGTCATGAAACAATTAGTGCAACATCAGTAAATCAATTTAAAACCTGTTTGTATCCAGAAAGGAGGCGCTGGCACAATATCTTTGAGCAATACATATCGTATTTAATCTGTGAACAAACTTTGGAAAACTAAAAGACTCAGTGATCTCATTGGTTACCCTTCCGCCTACCACTTATATCCATAATAATCATCATTATATTTTGCCTTTCGGATGGCGGCACTTTAAAAGTTTCTTTATATATTATCCGTTCACAATCCAATGTCCACAGGTACAGGTACAATTTATCACCTTTCAATGCTATTTGATAGGGAAAGGTGATAAATTTACCTGCACCTGTAGACATCGGATTGTGAACAGGATATAGGTAGGTGTGCAAAGTTCAAAGTTGTCCTTTCCTAAGACAAACTGATCTTAGGTAAGTATTAGGTCTTAGATCGGACTTCGTAAATAAATACTGAAAAGTTCTTACCTATTTGTATATCAGTATATTGACACAACTGTTTAGAAACTTGATAAACTTGTACACCAAGTTCCCTGGTAGGTACCAGAACTAGAATTCTTGTAGAAGACATGACTTGAGTGGGACGATACAAAAGCCTTTCCAGGGTTGGTAACATGTAGGCAGCAGTTTTTCCTGTACCTGTGGCAGCACATCCACAAATATCACGACCTGTAAAAATTTATTTTTATTTTTGATTTTGAGTAATTTTTAATATTTACCTAATAATGCAACAGGAATTGTTGCAGCTTGAATTGGTGTCGGATGTACAAATTTCATATCTGAAATGGCTTTCAAAAGAGGCCGGGATAAGTTCATTTGCTGAAAATTTGAAATCTCAAGATTCTCTTCTATGTTACTTTCTATTATGCCATTATCTGCTTCCTGTTTTTTTGTCTTCTTACTTTTCTTTTTTATTTTAGCTGTTATTTTATCGTGTTTCAATTCATCATCAGATAAACTGATATCAGAATCCGATTGGTCTTGAGTTTCTTCATTTTCTTCATCCTCATTATCATCTTCTAGTTCTTTGGCTTCGCTGCGAATTTTTTTGATTTTATCATCAGTTTTTGATTTTGCCTTTCTCTTTATGTACTTTTGGACATCGTCCCATGGATTTTTATTGTATTCTTCTATTGAACTGGCAAAATTGAAGTCATCAGCAAAGTCGGTGTTTTTCTTTTTGGTGCTTTGCTTGGAGGGCTGAAACTGGAAGCAAACATACTTATAAGTATAGTTAAAAACAACACAATTAATTGTTAAGTTGAAATGAAATTGTTGTTTTTCAAATCTATAGATACAAGAAAAACATATCAAATCCAACAACTTCCAGGGTGTTTACTGGTCTTGTACCTATATACATTCACCAAGACATTTAGAAAGGGATTCTTAAATCGATTGAATATATTACAATACACGTTCTAATACAATAATTATATCATTTCTGCTGCTACTCTAGTTTAGTTAGGGCAACTTCCTCTAACAGCTATTTGCACCGGTGTTCCTTAAAAACAAACTAAGTTAGGTAGAGGCTAAGCTTAAGGTGAACGTTTAAGTTGAGTTGCTTTGCACCAACCAAATCTTAGCTAAGAATTGAAAGCTATTGGCAACAGCGCAAAAATGCGTATTTCAAGGCAGAAATGAAGGTGGAGGTACCTATTTCAAGCAAGGAATTTATCCGTTAACCTATCTTTGTGATTAAAATATAAATATTTTCGTTAATTTCGTTTTTTCTTCTATTTTGAATATATTTTTGGCATTCTTGTGCAAAATTCTGTAGAAATTACCCGACGCACAAAAATAAAAGCATTAACAAATAACTAAATAACAGCAACAACCATAAAAAAAACTTCGGAAAACTTGTTTTTGCTATGAAAATAAACATATATATTTTTTTTTGCTTTAAATATGCAGTCTTCGGAGAAAAGGCTCTTGGAACCTTGGATATTACAAATACAAAATCATCGATAATCAAAGTCAACCAGAATTTTGTCAAAAAAAGAAAACAAACCCCAAAAACCAACTAAGCGGAGAAAATCTGGGGCTTAACTTAACTAGACTTGAGGTGGACCCTAAACAGCGGTGCAAAGCAAAATCGTAGTTTAAGTTCCACTTAGGACTAAGTCTGACCTTAAGTTGTAGCGGTGCAAATAGCAGTTAGTTTAGTTAGGTGTTAGGCTAACTTTCTCTTTACCTCAACTTCAACATCGGAATTTTCTGATAAATCTTCCACTTCTTCATCGTCATCTATTGTCCGAATCAAATCTCTATAAGCAGCAACACTTTCCATATTATTTTCTTGAAATGTTTACCCAAAATTTTATCTTCTTCTATATTTTAAATTGAAGAAATCCCATTAGTTTTGATTTTACCACACCACGATATGAAATGAAAGTGAGGTTAGTTTATTCCTTGACTTTTCTCAACAGTTTAATAGCGTTTTCTATTGGTAACAATAGTGCGCACTGCGTACAATAATTAGATATATTTCCTATATTAAACCAGTGCACGTGTTTGTTGGCCATTGAAAAATCAGGACAAAAACCGTTGTTCTTGGAGCGGCATGTTTGGCTTTTGTGAGATGTTTTTTCGAGTGATGCCATGCTGCCGTGTTACTTACCTTGCGTTCGGTATGTTGCTCAAAGGCAGAGACCGCGTGTTGCTAAATTCACCAAAATGGTGCACCGCCACGGATGCGGTGATTGAAGTTCACTAATGCCATCAAACCACAGCTTGTCAAATCCTGTTTAATTTAACAACAGTGCTTGTTCTACCATTCCACCACGGTGCTTACACCAGCTGAATTTAGCCACACGCGGTGCTGAGCGGAGCCGTAATCACGTGACCAGCGAGCGAACAGAGCAGTTGTACGCTGTGTCAGAGTGCCCGAAATTTGAATAGACGAACGCGAATGTGCCTGCACCGAGTACACTTTTTGTGGTGCGTACGATAAGTCCGAACTACTGACACTTTTTACCCTGACCCGTCATTAATGTCGCACTTTTTACACCATTCGTACCGTTCAGCATTCCATTTAACGGTGTAGTTTAGATGGTTGCGCTCCAAAACATAACTGCACCGCACTAACGCTAACCGGTTCAGACAAATCGTACGCACCATTGAATAAACGAACGGTTAATTCAAGCTCGGAGAGCTCAGATCAGCTGCCGGATTCTATTTTACGTGTCGAGTCGTAATTCGTATCGAATTGTCAAAATAGCGATTCTATTTTACGATTTTTATATACGCATTAAGTCTAGTACTCATAACTGCGAAATTCGCACTTTTTTGACATTACTTCGACAAACTGACGTTTTATGCATGAATCAAACGTCAAATTTTCGAAGCAATGTCAAAAAAATGCGAATTTCGCAGTTATGAGTACTAGGCTTTACACGGTACGTCCGGAGCTGTCGTATTCGATATCGAGACAATCCGACTCGATTCGTAAAATAGAATCCGGGGGCAGAATACCGAACGCACGGTTTGAATGAAAATATTTGTGTCTTCGAAAATTTGCAATCGATCGTACTACCCAATGACATTGGTGCTACTCAAAATATACGATTGTATTGCAGCTTGCACTAGAGCAATTTTCTACCCAAACGCATCGCAGAACTAATTCTATCAATCGAAAACGCTATTTAGCTCGTTATGGATCGGAACGAAAGTTGTTCTAGGTTTGTTTGTTTGTCTCGACTAGGGTGGGTATGATCTTATCTTCTGTGTTTAAGGGCGGGTATTATAAAACTGCTTTGACAGTTAACTTGAAGTTAACTTTTTGAATTACTTGTAATTCCAGAAGTTAACTTTAAGTTAACTCTCAAAGTAGTTTTATAATACCCGCCCTTAGTATCATGGGTGGGTATAAAACTATTTTGACCGTTAACTCAAAAGTTAACTTCTGGAATGATGTTTCATTCTATAGTAATTCCACAAGTTTACTTCTTGCTATCTGTCAATATAGTTTTATAATACCCGCCCTAACTCAGAACAAAACACTGAGCGCAAGATATTTCAGAGTCGCTTTCCAGTGACGCACTTTAACAACTCCTGAGCTGCTCTAGAGTGCCCAGGACTGTTTATAGGCGTTCCAGTGCATTTGAGCTTCGAACTGTTCGTTTTTCCTCTCCTCTGCCCTCTCAAACACCAGCAATTTATGGTTGCATAAATAACACGACGCTTAAAGTAGGGTGCGTCCCAGTGACACAACCGTTGTGCACCAGAGTGTGAAGCTACGGCTGTGGCGCACCAGTCGTCACTGGAAATAAGCGGCTCAGGTTTGTGGCGTCACCAGTTCAACTGATAGCGGCTAGACACAAAGGAACGGAGTTTTATTACCTATCATTTTCAATTTATGAGGGGTCCTGAGTTCAAATCCTAGTCGAGACAAGAAAATTTTTCATCAATTTTTAATAATACGTCTGCATGCCACTAAAATTACCACTCTATAGATTATTATTATTCATATTCCCATTATTAACTATATTGTGGATTTCTGGATTTGATTTGTGGCAGATTTTGACAATTATGGATTTTTTCAATGGATGACGAGGTCGAAATCGAATTTGATTTATCAAGTGATGAGGATAGTGGAGCGGACTGTGACAATGCAGGCCATTGAATGCAGGCCGCCACCGCTGCCACCCTTTTTTATACAGAATATTGGAATGGAACAGGGAACCGTAAAATGTGGCGTTTTGACATTTAATTCTAAGTTGCCTTATCTTACTCCTCGTCGAAAGCAGAGCAAGTGCAGGGGTGCGTTCAAGGACGCAATGCTAATGCCAAAACCTACTTTTCCCCCTCCACTTTTAATGCCGAACAACCTAGGTTGGAGCCGAACTCGAACGCAAAAAGCCAATTGTGGCTTGGCTGTAGCCATTCCTGAACGCAGTCCTGGTTGAAAATTAACTAAACATTTGATACAAATTGCACTTCACCAGGGCCGTAGCCAGGTGGGGGGGAAGCATTGGGAGGCAATGCCCTATCTTTTAAATGATAATGCCCTACCTTTAAAAATCAACATACATTAAGGTTTCTTTAGAAAATTTAAGAGTATATGATGCCTGAAGTAGATAGGCCTGAAAGTAAGAGTAAGCTAGGATGAATATTTCCGAAAATGCCTAAATCTAATGCACAATGGTTGAAGTTTGCACAGAGGAAGTGTTTTTTTGTTTTGAAAGAGTTTACGATTCTTGCTTGCAAGAGATGTTATTCATTGCAAGGTTGTTTGATAGAGGCGAGAGAGGTAGGATACCTGGTAACTTTATGACGTCATCTGGGGTGCCTCAACATAATGCAAATCTCTATAAGGTATCCCAGATCAGATGCGTCATCAAGTTTTCCATTACCATACTTTACCATACATTATACATATCTTGATGCGTCATCAAGTTACTCATTACCATACAACCTGAACCTTGATTTATTCAAAAATTTTATTTGCCTTTAAAAATTTAGGGGGGTGGGGGGGCAAGTAGTGTATGCCCTATTGACACAGTCGTGTTCTTTAATTGGTAGGAGTAAGTTTGGTATACACTTCATTTGCGTTTGGAAATGATTTGGAGCCCAAATGGTGGAAAGATGGTGGGACACCGTTTACTCGTTACAAAATGATGGTGTATTTGGTGTTACACTGCCGATTACACCTTCATTACGTGATATAACAATGCACTACACGAACACCACATTAGCACTGCGCTAAAATTCCATTCCGAACTCAACTTTTGAATCCAACTGCAGTACAGTTAAAAATCATACTTGTCATTTTTTTTTGCGGTTTTCAGTTTTCACTGTCAAATATGTCAAATCCGATTCTGCTAGTAGAAAGGTAAAAAATAAAAATAAAATATATTATAAAATAGTGCTGCTAAATATACACAGGACACAGGGATTGCCAGTGGCCAGAATTTTGTAAAAATAATTAATATTTTTATAATCTCAAAATAATGATTTATTGCTTATCAATTTTATTGTAAATATGTGAAGAGTAGTTTCGTATTTTAGTCAAGTCAAATTCATTCTGGATTCATTTTTCTGGCCCTGTTGTTCACCTTTTTAAACTGCTCCAAGTAAAATTGCTTTAAATTACCATATTTGTATTTCTACCTACTCATCATTGAAATTTATTGGATCGATCAATAGTTGTTGTTATTTGTGGTAAGTACTTATAAATAGATGTTATTTAGTAATGAAATTTGTTTAGTCTTGTGTATAATCATGTAGGAGGAGTTTCATCTCAAAAATTGTAGCAAAAATCATCAACTAAATTGCCTAGGAACAGAGGTAAATTGAATAATCTGAATAACAAGCATAAATATTAATTTCCTATGTGTTATCAAGATTTTTATTATAATAATATTGATTTTGTGATAAAAATCATATTCTTGTAAAAATTAGGAGTGAGATAAAATGAGTTTTATGTATAGGTACCTATGAGTTTCTGTAATACCTAACTAGCAATGGTATAATGCGAATTTCAAGTTCAAAAACAGGGTGGCCCATCAAAAACTTCACATGGAGCTTTACATTCTATTTTAAAAAAATTTAATACTTATAACAGCAAAGATCTTTAAAATATATACAGGGTATCCAAAATAAATTGAAGTACAAGGGGATTTCTGAAACAATTTGAGAATACAGGGTAGACCAAATGGGAAAAAAGTTGCCTAATCAAATGTCAACAAATAATCTGTCATCAACTTCTTTGAACTTCTTGATTGTATCTTTTATAATAAGCAAAATTTAGTATTTTATGAAACAGTCTTTTCTTTTTTGCCCTGAATATCTGTTGCTAGGCATTTCAAATTCAAATAAGTTGACAACAGATTATTTGTAGGCACTTGATTGCATAACTTTTTTCATTTGGTCCATCCTGTATCTTCAATGGTTTCCACAATCCCCATGTACTTCAAGTTATTCCGGACACCCTGTATACAAGTTTAGAATTTAAATAAGTCCACAAAAATGATATTGTTTGCGATTTTCCATTTCTTTTCAATAAAAAATTTTAAATAACCTAAATAGTAGCAAATACTTACTCTGAGAAATAATCAAATCAAATCAAAATATGCTTTATTGCCATAAATAATTATAGTACCACACTCATTAACACTTAGTTCTTGAGTAAAATACCTAAGAATGTTTACAGTTGTTTCATACAGAAAGGATTTTAAAAAAATTTATAAAAAAATATGGGAAATAACTTTACACAAATGAAACAAAAATCAAAACACAGGGCAGACACAAGGATCGATAAGTTAGTGTATACCTTTCTGGCAGGCAGTAAAATTTTAAATTAATTATGATCATGGAGTATATATTTATATAAAACAGAGTAGGAAGCTTTATCAGTCGATCCCTTAATTTTCTTCTAAATTTTTCAAAAATTATAAACACATTTAAATTCTGGTGGTAGCCCATTTATAGATTTTTACACTTCTATAAATAACCGAATTTTGTGTAAGGCTGCAACTAGGAATAGGAAGAGTAATATTATTGTGATTTCTAATCTGATAAAAATGAGTATGGGTGACATCTGTAAATTTTTTAAAAATTAAGTTTAGAGTTTCTAGAATGAACAATTCAAATAATGTCAGAATTCTCTCTTTTTTGAAAAGGGGTTTTTAATGGTCCATAAATCCGGTCCACATAGATATCTTACACATTGTTTTTGCATTGTAAAAACGGATCCAAGTAAATTTTGGCAACGATTTCACAATTCTGATTCACTCCAGAATGATTTAAACCAAATTGAAAAGTGATGTGAGGATTGAAAACTACTCCTTAATGTGGAGAAATGTGTGGTACCTACTCCATTTTGGAAAAGATAACCCAGAAAATGAATACACCATCAATGGGTCAGTACTGGTCAGTGTTCAGCAACACAATGACCATATACCTAGTTCTGATAACCAAAGACTTGATCCTGGTCGGCACACGTAACAACAATATGCAAAAAAGCCAACAGCAAGTTATCCCTCCTAAAAAAGGTGTTCCCAAGCACCCCCCATGAAGCGTTTACAAAACTATATAACGTATATTGCAGGCCAATCCTGGAATATGCAGGTCAGGCTTGGCATTCAGACCTCATTAGAGAGGGCAATAGCCTCGAAGCTGTAGATATGAGGAAACACTAGAACAACAAAAACTGCTGAGCTTCCAAAATAGAAGAAGAAGAGGAGATCTTATCTTCACCTACCAAACACTCCACTCCAACATTCAAACAGTTAGAGATCTCTATCCCTCGAACACAGACCAGAGACTCTGGGGTCACAGTCTCAAACTTAAAAAAGAGGGTGAACCGAGGGGTGAAATTTCTACTAAACAAAGTCTTTGCCCTCTGGGATCAACTTCCAGCTGAAACAGTTAGTGCTACTTCAGTGTCAGAATTCAAGACAAAACTTGATGACTATCAAATTTTCTATAGCAATTTCATTATAACTATAGAAACTGGTAGGCATCTAATTTGCCTAAACAAAGGACCCTCCCAAATGATACAGAAATTGTGTTTAAGTCAGAATTGGCTGAATTTTGTATGTAATGTAGATTACAACTTTCTGATTAAAAGTCACCATTGCATCAATCCTGAAAAATTACTCTACGTAGCACACCACTGCGCCACAAGCTTTCCTATTTGTGCTACATTGAATGTTCATTACAATGTCCAAGCATTTTACTTGCTACCTATGAAATTAATTTTCTCAAAAAGGGGTAATTTTTCAGGATTGGTACAATGGTAACTTTCAATCAGGAAGGCATGATCTACATTGTATACAAAATTCAGCCAATTCTGACATAAACCCAGTTTCCATATACTTTGGGCAGGGTCTTTTTCAGCATTTTATTGCAATTTCTCATTAACTAAATACTGTCTGTCAAGTTGGAAGAGCAAAGTGAGCATAATCGAAAATTAGTACATGGAACATTTAAGGTTCATTAAAAGCTAATTAAATGCCCTGAGGAGAAATTCTAAGCTTCGCGAAAATCGCTAGTTAGTAGTTAAAACAATGAAAATTGCAATTCCACTTGCACAGATATTATAGGCTCCGGAAATACACCAATCGCGAATTTCAGGCTCATTAATTTTCTTTGTGAAAATGCGAAAATTCGCTACGCGTGATCGAGGTCGGCAGTACATGGCTGAAAAACCTCTTAAAATCAGTGTTCCGATAGTGCAGTCGTTGTGAGTACATTAAAGGCTAATTAAATGCTCTAATGAGGAATTTTAAGCTCTGCTAACTTTCGCGAAAATGACTATTCTGCTAGCTTCCACTTGAACCAGCAGAACATGAGGGAAAAAGTGGCTAAAGCAACGAAAATTGCAATTCCACTCGCACAGACAGAAATACATCAGTCGCGAATTTTAGGCTCGATTACTTTTTTTTATGAAAATGCAAAAAATCGCAGCGCGTGGAAGGTCGGCCGGACATAGCAATCTTAAGAGACGTAATTAAGTAGGTATCTATTAAAATTGGAAAAATAGTTGATGTTGAATAGATAATTTAATCGTCTTTGAAATAATGTATCACAATTCACAGTACCTACACCTCTTTTTATTTAAATACCTACATTATGGTGCGATAGTCACCCTTGCAAAAATAGAAAACTTGTTCTGTGAATTTTCATTGGGTCACCCTATATAATTAATTCCTGGGTTTTCATTGTATTTAGATACTCAGTTGATAATTATTGCAAACAGATAATTTAACTTTTTAAACGCAAATATACTTTAAAATATTAATATTTGTTATACTTTATACAAATTTTAAGCCTGCAAGATGAGTATCATACAGTAATAATTTTAAACTTTACTTTTCATTACAAAACAGGTAAAATTTTATTTTTATTCCATAAATGATGAGTGTATCTTAATAATAATAACCTATTGACCTTGCCTGTTTAATCTACTTCTGATTTAAGTATTTTTGTCAAAATGTATAGTATTGTTTTTCTTTTCAAATTAACTACCAAAAATTCCTCAAAAACTTGCATGCTACGGAACTCCCTAATAATCAATTATTTTGTGTATCTTGGCATCTTGCCTAAACTCATTCACCTGTTAGGTATAATTATAAATAATGGAGTTCTGCAGTGCCTGGTTTCCCTTTTACCCCTTGAAGGCCCCCTTGGCCTATTTATTTGATAGCCGTATAATAATTTGTTATTTGGGCTTCAACAGAATTATTATCTTGAAACTTTTTGACTTAAGAAACTGATGAAAAGTGGTTAGAAAAAAGGTAAAAAGAAAAGGTACAAGATGATTTTATTATACAATATAGAGATTTATTTGTCATTATGCATTTTTTGATTTTGGGAGAGTAAATTTGAAAAAACAATGTTAAGGTCTTATCAGTTTTCTTATTTAATGAATTTGATTCCTCCTTGATATAGGTAACATGTTTGTAAAAAGCACCTTTTTGATAAAAAATATTCAGTTGTTAGAACAGAAGTATTAATAAAGTCCATCAAGTGTCCAGTTCAATCAACATGTTGTGAGAGAGCTCATCAATAATAATCGGGTCTCAAACGGATATCACTTATATATGAAATTCTGATTTCTTGTTGCATAACCAATATCGAGACCAATATAATTTTTCTCACAATATATTCACCCTGCTTTTCGTAGCCCGTGCATTAAAAATTTTCCAGTTTGCAGGTGGATTTGTATTATTATTATCTAATCCACTTGCAAGCCCACATGCATAGGCTACGTATACCACCCTGTATACATATATATTTTATTGATTAGTGTAGGGGGCTTATGTAACCTAAACATTAAATAGAAATGGAAATAATAAGCATATTCTTCCATAATAAAAATTATGTTCAATATTCTATAAATAAATTACCACAATTTCTAATTTAACCTCTTCTTTGTTTTAAACTAAAAAATACTGTACATAGAAATCATTTTTTTATAGCACCCGAGTGTTGAATCGCCTGTGCTTCTAATAATAACCTCATATGCATGTAGTTCATTTATTTGTCAACCTTTTGGCTCTAATTCTAATAAAGTTTTTTAATGCATAAAATTTAGTAGCTACTTATGTTTATGCATACTCATGCAATGCAAGTATTAAAACAGATTCACTTATTACATTTTCATGTTTTATTGAATTCACTAAAACAACCAGCTAATTAGACTATAATTACAGTTTTAATTACAACAAAAAGTCTATATGAATGTGCAATCGATACACACGCAATTATACGTTTTATTGAAATTTCCCTTTTTGTTTTTTTCAGTATTCATTGAAGCAGAATAATAGAATGGCGAGCGGCGAGAAAAAGAGTCCAGAATTTACCAGGGTAAAGTTGAGATTGATGAATTCGACAATACAAGCCAGTGATTCCGATGCTAGTCTGGAAACTAATAGTTTAAGTGCTGACAGTGGTACCGAACAAAATCAAATTACTCAAAATGAGGCGAGGAAGAAGCGGAATAGAAAAGGTTCCGAATGGGAGATTATGGAGGGTTTAAAAGACGGCCAGAGGTTCGAGAATAAACCGAATTTGTTTAACGGGTATTTACATAAGAAAAGGAAGTGGCCTCTTAAAGGATGGCATAAGGTATGTGATAAATTTTTGTAAAAATTTTTAACAAAAATATTCACTACTAACCCAAGCCTGGTATATAATTTAAAATGCATTATGGTAATGATATTCTGAACCTTTGAACTTTGGTTTACTATTTAATGGAATAAGTACTCATTATTTGTGTGTGTAGCTTCATACCCGGTGTAATTTACTTTAATTTTTATTGATTAGTGCAGAGCTTATGAACAATAAATACATTAATAGGTTCACTATAGCTTTTCTGAGAAAAACATTTAAGTTAATTAAAATTTCATCAGCATTGTGTCCCCACTGGTTTTTCCAAAAAACATCAAAATGTGACAGACTGCATTTTCATTATTTGATTATTTAGCAGTTGTTTGTTCTAGAATTTCTTCTGTCGTGATTTTTCACTGGATCAATTTGAAATCCTATTACGATGAGCTCCTATGCTTCCTCTTTCCACCCCAAAAATTTCAAAATTGAATCCCCACTGGTTTTTCCGAAGATAGAAGTTGTTTGTTCTAGAATTTCTTTTGTCTTTGTTTTCCACTGGATCAATTTGAAATTCTAGTACGATGAGCTCCTAATCTTCCTCTTGTCACACCAAAAATTTCAAAATTGTGTCTCTACGAGTTTTTCCAAAAAACATTAAAATGTGACAGACTGCATTTTCATTATTTGATTCTTTAGAAGTTGTTTGTTCTAGAATTTCTTCTGTCGTTGTTTTCCACTGGATCAATTTGAAATTCTAGTACGATGAGCTCCCATTCTTTTTCTTCCCATCCCAAAAATTTCAAAATTGAGTCCCCACTGGTTTTTCCAAAAAACATAAAAATGTGGCAGATGCATTTCATTATTTGATTTTTTAGAAGTTGTTTGTCCTAGATTTTTTTCTGTCGTTGTTTTCCACTGGATCAATTTGAAATTCTAGTACGATGACGTTGAGTTTCTAACCTTCCTCTTTTCACACCAAAAATTTCAAAATTGTGTCTTCAGGGATTTTTCCAAGAAATATTAAAATGCGACACACTGGATTATCATTATTTGATTTTTTAGAAGTTGTTTGTTCTAGAATTTCTTCTGTCGATGTTTTCCACTGTATCAATTTGAAATTCTAGTACGATGAGCTCCTAATGTTCCTCTTCCCATTCCAAAAATTTCAAAATCGAGTCCTCACTAGTTTTTCCAAAAAACATCAAAATGCATTTTCATTATTTGATTCTTTAGAGGTTGTTTGTTCTAGAATTTCTTCTGTCGTTGTTTTTCACTGGATCAATTTGAAATTTCAGTACGATGAGCTCATAATCTTCCTCTTCCCATTCCAAAGATTTCAAAATTGAATCCCCACTGGTTTTTCCAAAAAACATCAAAGTGTATTTCCATTATTTGATTCTTTAGACGTTGTTTGTTCTAGAATTTCTTCTGTCTTTGTTTTTCACTAAATCAATTTGAAATTCTAGTATGATGACGTTGAGCTCCTAACCTTCCTCTTTTCACACCAAAAATTTCAAAATTGTCTTTCTACAGGTTTTTCCAAAAAACTTTAAAATGCGACAGACTGCATTTTCATTATTTAGAAGTTGATTGTTCTAGAATTTCTTCTGTCATTGTTTTTCACTGGATCACTTTGATATTCTAGTACGATTAGCTCTTAATCTTCCTCTTCCCACCCCAAAAATTTCAAAATTGAGTCTCTACTGGTTTTTCCAAAAAACATCAAAATGCGACAGACTGCATTTTCATTATGTGATTCTTTAGAAGTGGTTTGTCGAATGGTTTGTTCTAGAATTTCTTCTGTCATTGTTTTTCACTGGATCAATTTGAAATTCTAGTACGATGAGCTCCTAACCTTCCTCTTTTCATTCGAAAAATTTCAAAATTTTGCTAAAATCATGTCTTGCTTACTTGTGAAGACAGTATAAGGGCAAAAGCAGATTAATTCCCTTTCTATCCCTTGGCGGACTTTTAATGGAATCGATATTACCAAATTATAAGATTTTTACCAAAATTTCTTTTACACCACTTCCAAAATTTTTCAGCGATATTTCACACTTAGAGAAGGCATTCTAAAATACGGCAAAAATCCAATAGACATAAACAAAGGCAAAATCCATGGAACTTTAGACATAGGCCTTTCTGTTATTACAACAAAAACTTGTAGGCGTCGCATAGATATCGATGCCGAAGAATTTATCTACCATTTAAAAGCAAAAACGGATGAAATATTTAGCGGTTGGGTGCAACAGCTTACTGCCCATCGGCTTTATCGTCAGCATATTATTACTTATGGTGCTAACGTTGGTAGTTTGTTTACGGCCACAGAGGGAGTACACCGAGGAATACACGGAATTTCTCTAGCCACATCGGATATAACATCCAAAGATGGTTCTTTATCTAGAAAAATTAAAGGACTACCAGCTAATGGTAGGTTAGGACTTTGGTTGCAAGAGTCAGTTTCAACTTTGGAAAAATGCCAAAGAAGTTCGTTGGAAAGTGAAAGGAAGTTGGAAAAGATGAATCACTTGTTACAGCAAATGGAAAACACAATTACTTTGGAGGTAAATGAAGTGTTTTCAATTTAGCTTGAAGCTAATTATTTTTGTGTAGAGCCTGGAGCCATCTCAAAGTGTAAAAAAAGACAGAAGAAAATTTGGGCTTAGGAAAAAGAAGACAAAAACCAACAGTGTCGATCTGAGTATTCAATTTAACAAATCATCTGTAATGGGTGACACTGAAAACACTTCACCGTTATCTGTGAGTTTCACCATAACTTAACTATCTACTTTAAATCATTAAAAATAATAATTTTAGATGAATTCATTTTCGATGCTTTCCACTTCACACCAACATATAAATACTCTAAGTACCTCCTTACCAGTACCGCCTCAAGCACCTGCAGAATCGCTTGCTTCTGATAGTTTTAGTAATTCTGATGCTATATCTCTAGCTGCTGATGGACCAATCAAAGAAGAATTCATGGCTTTAGGGAAAACAGGTACAAATCCAACCAAATTATATTTGATTCATTTTGATTTTTTTTTTACAGTTTTAGGCGATTTAAAAAACATAATAAATGCGTTAAACACAGAAAGGGAGCGGCTCAAAGCTGCAATAGAGGCGGAACCCTGTACGTTATATAATAACAGCAATCAAAATACGATAAGCCTTAAGGACGATCTGGGTAAGATTCTACAGCAAAACTTGGATTTGAAAAATCGTTTATTAAAAATTCATGAAGTTTCTAATTTGGAGGAAATATCTTGTATGGATCACGTTACGGAAAAGGTAAAAATTATACTTTCATACAAAACTCCTTTAATTAATTGAGAGTTAAGAGATTGTCCTTTGTTAATTTTCAGAGCACTGCGTGACAAAAACAATATTTTCAACATGTTGTAAGTCTTTTAGTTTGTTGTGTTTAGTCCCCATTATGGAAATAAAAGTAAATTATTGTGTGTTACTGTTTGTTTTGTGATTTATTGGTTTGATGTTACTTCTCTTATCAGTGCTTAGAAATTGACAAAGGAACTCCTCAAAATGATTTGGACCAAATTTAGTATTATTTTAGGGGCAGCTTTATAATAGCTCGTTAAGTTATAGTTCGTCTTGTGTAAGTGCTACTGAATTTTTCGATGCCGAGGATCTTTCTGACAAAACCGCTACACTGCAACGTGGGGATGACGAAAAAGACGAAGAAAGTGAGGTAAATTATACTTTTGTTTGGTTGGCATTTTTCATTCTACAAATTATTTGCTAGTGATTATTTTAGTTTGTATTTGACAGTAGCATTGTTTCATCAACTTAGGTTCGAACAAGATCAGAAAGTAGTTCAGAAGGTGATTCATTTTCTAGTGGTGAAGGAAGTATTAGCTCTGAGTCGGAATTGGGAGCGGAATTACATAATCCTGTGTCAAGCTTAGATACAGGTAAAAAAAAAGAAAAATGCTAGAAGTTACATTGTTGTTAGCCCATTTTTTTTTTAATTTAAAATATTTGATTTATTGTTAATTTTATTTTTTAGAGTTAGTTGATCGGAGTTTAACTGGAAGACGAACGATTTTACCTGTACCGAGACCGCATACAGGAGGTTTGTCTTTGTGGAATCTTCTCAGCAAAAATATAGGTAAGATTTTTGATTCTTAACTTGTTTTTGTAATTCTTTATTTATTCATTTCTCTTCTTTTTCTTCCCATTTCTCAGGTTTTTTGTTCAATTTTTTGTTTATGCAAGGGTCTTGAATTTTGTTTTAATGCAGCTTTAATGGTACAAAGCTTCAAACTCTTTTGACTAAGTTTTATAAAGCTGAGCAAATTTTTATGTTTTCCTAAATTTGATTCTTTTTTCTATCGATTTGCAAACTTTGGATTCAATCCTTCCATCATTTACTCAAGAAAACAATAAAACGTTCCTCAATGTCGTTTTTTGCAGGTTTGGTTTTCCTCCTAATGACTTTGATACACATTTTGCCTTATAGGTTTGTTAATTTTATTCTGATCCTAACATAATTAGGCTGAAATTAAGGCCTAATAAATCTATACGTAATTTTCAGTACAGCTTCAATATTTTTGCATCTGGCAAGCTTCTGAGCAGGGTTGGCAAAAACCTGGATTTTTGAAATTTTCTATTGGATTTTTGGGTTTTTGAAGGTTATTGTGGTAGCTTTTGTGGGCGTTTGGTGTTCATTTAAGTACACAATATTGTAAATTTGTTACAAATTTCAAGAGAAACTTCAAAACTGATTTTTTCGAACATTGAAAATTTTACAAAAATGACACTGAGACAGTTTTTGCCTCACAGTTCAGTTAATTTTCCTCCGATTTCAATGTAATTGAGCTCTAATTAAAGCCAATTAAATTCTCTACAAACCTGATGATTAGGATTTTAATTTGGTATCAACAGTTTTACACCTGAGAAGCTGCAAAATCGAAAATTCGAACATTGAAAATTTTCCAAAAAAGACACTGATAGCTTTTACCTCACAGCTCCGTAATTGAGCTCTAATTAAAGCCAATTAAATCGTTTACAAACCTGTTATTTGAGATTTCAATTTGGTTTCAACAGTGTTACACCTGAGAAGCTTCAAAATTGAAATTATCGAACATTGAAAATTTTCCAAAAATGTCATTGATACAGTTTTTGCCTCTCAGCTCCGTTAATGTTTATCCGATTTCAATGTAATTAAGCTCTAATTAAAGCCTATTAAATTCTTAATTAAGATTCTAATTTGAAGGGCAACAGTTCTGCACCTGAGAAACTTCAAAATTGAATTTATCGAACATTGGAAATTTTCCAAAAATGACACTGAGACAGTTTTTGCTTCACAGCTCCGTTCATTTTCATCCGATTTCAATGTTACTAGGATCTATCTAATTAAAGCCAATTACATTCTCTACAAACCTGGTAATTAAGATTTTAATTTGGTTTTACACCGGAGAAGCTTCAAAATTGAAATTATCGAACATTGAAAATTTTCCAAAAATGTCGCTAAGACAGTTTTCGCCTCACAGCTCCGTTAAATCTCATCCGATTTCAATGTAATTAAGCTCTAATTGAAGCCAATTAAATTCTCTACAAACCTGTTGATTAGGATTCTGATTTGGCTTCAACACTTTTGCACCTGAAAAGTTTCAAAATTGAGATTATCGAACATTGAGAATTTTCCAAAAATGACACTGAGTTAGTTTTTGCCTCACAGCTCCGTTAATTTTTATCCGATTTCAATGTTATTCGACTCCAATTAACAAAGCTGTTTTGCTTCAAAATTGAATTTATCGTACATTGAGAATTAAAAATACACACCTGTTAATTAAAATTTATTAGCTGTCTATTTTTCCTCAGGATTTTCATTTTGTTTAATATAGATAAGAAAAATGTGAATAATCCTAGAGGTGATTAAGGTGATTAATAATTATTTCTGTATGAGTGGAATTTTGACCCAAAAAGCTGAATGGATTTTTGTCAATTTTGATGGTGGGTTTTTTGTTTTTGTATCATTAGGTTTTGAAATGGGTTTTCGTGTATACAAACCCTGCTTCTGAGTCTATTCACTTTGATTTTTATCCAGGTGGGTAACAAAACCTCCTAAATCTACACTCTGATTTGTCCAAGGATTTTTCATTGCATCAATTTTATTACAAAAGCCAGGCAAAATATTTTCGATTCTAAAAAAAATGAACTACTTCTTCAATTTCAAATATTTTTGCTTTTTTCTAGGTAAAGACCTTTCTCAAGTAAGCATGCCGGTGGCCTTGAATGAACCACTAAACGCTCTGCAAAGGCTCTGCGAAGAACTAGAATATTCCGAACTGTTGGATAGGGCAGCTAATATTGAAGATCCATATGAGAGAATGGTACAAATTGCAGCGTTCGCAGTATCAGCTTATGCCAGTACGCCTAGTAGAGCTGGAAATAAACCATTCAATCCTTTGTTGGGAGAAACATACGAGTGTATAAGAGAAGATAGAGGATTTAGGTAAGAATTGATATTTTTCAACATTCCATTAAGAATTCTATTAGTGTTGCTAAAGAGGTATCCTGAATTTTGGATGATGGTTAATCAAAATCAGTAATAAATGAACCAAACTCCATTTTGAGCTGAAACATGAAGAAGAAAAAAGAATGAGTTTCAATTAATTGATTTTTATTTAGGTTTATTGCAGAACAAGTTTCACACCATCCACCAATCAGTGCCTGTTACGCTGAAAGTTCAAATTTCACGTTTTGGCAAGACGCCCGTATCAAAACGAAATTTTGGGGTAAGAGCATGGAATTTCAGCCGGTCGGTTACGTTCAAGTGCTCCTACCAAAAACCGGCGATCTTTATAAATGGAACAAAGTAACTACGTGCGTCCATAATTTGTTTAGTAATCAACGCTGGGTGGATCAGTACGGAGAACTGAAAATTGACAATGGAAAGATTACTTGCAAATTGACGTTTTCCAAGGCAAGCTATTGGTCTTCAAAAAGACATGAGGTAAGCGTTTTCAAGGTTTTAATATAATTTTTGTCTAAATTCTTTGTATTTTAGGTCGTTGGTGCAGTTTACGATGAAGGAGGAAAACCTGTACGTCGTTTATTTGGCAAATGGTCTGAATCGTTATACTGTGGAGTTGCTCCGTCGGCTAGATGTATTTGGCGCGCTGGTAATTTACCAGAAAATCATGAACACTATTACGGATTTACCAGATTTGCTATTGAATTGAACGAACTTGGACCCAATACAAACGTTTTACCTCCAACAGACACTAGGTACACACTTATTAGAATTTTTAAGTAATTTCAAAACCCGGTTTAAGGAAATTTCAATGCTCTATTATTTTATTAAACCAAAAATGAGCTGTTCTTGTGAGGTAATCCTTATAATAGTTATCATTATCTAGGTTTAGGCCAGATCAAAGAGCTCTCGAAGAAGGCGATTTAAATACAGCCGAAGGAATGAAACTCCAGCTAGAAAATGCACAACGTGATAGACGTAAACGACGCGATGAATTAAGCATTCCCTATGAACCGAAATGGTTCTCGAATCCTCGAAATGACGTGTGGGAGTATAACGGAAAATACTGGGAGCTACGCGAGAAACCTGGTTTTAGCAATTTGCAATTCGATTCCCTCTGGTGACAATAACAATTACTATTTATAAATGTTTAACATTAAAAGTTTATTCTCCGTTAAAAAAAGGTATTAAAGTTGTTAAAAAATAAATTACTGAGATAGTATGTATTCATATTAATGATGAAGCTTTAATAGTTGGCTGTAGTTGTTATTATTATTTTGTTTTTATTGTAGGGTCGATATGTTCAACAATTAGGTTACGTGTAAAATATTTATTTATATGGTATTTTTTAAATTTTAAATGTTTTAAAGAAAAAATTGTTGCACCGTTCGTGATAACTGAATTAGTATGTATTTTATGGAAAAGGCAATAAATGTAACTTCTATGTTTTGTTAATATTTGCTTGAAATAAAATGCAGATTTAGAAACATAAATTATATAATAATAATTGTTTTAGAAATTTATACAAAATAAATTAAAGAAAAATATAACAATTTTATGTGGCATTAAATTCTTACTAACAAAAGGTGCGCTCGAAAAACATCTAAAGCATAATATATTATAACATATATTAATTTTAATTCAAATAACGGTTTTTGCTGGCTGCCTTTTAGTTTTTGAGTGGGTCGAGGCTTTCCAAGGAAAAATCGTCGTTTCCAAAACTGATTCCTCTTGAAAATCCAGCCTGAAACAAATATGGTTATTGTTATTGTTATTATATTGAGTATATTTTATACAATCCTAATTGATATATATTGGATTTGAACTAACTAGGATCAGGATCTGACAATAATATCTTAAATATTGAAAAATAGTTCCTTTAAAAGACGAATAAATGATGATACTAGAACTGGAACAAAGGATAAACATATTTCACTGTCGTGCTTTTCTCCAAAACTAAGGTCAAATATTTCAAAAACGAATTGATAAACAAGCTGCAATTTGTGAGAAACATGACTCAGATAATGAAATATTATTGAAGTTTGAAGATACCTGAAAGAAGTTTTAAAAGGGTTCAGAAACAATCTGAAAATTTGGTTTCCAAAAATGGCAAAAACGCGACCTCATATTTAACGGATCATTAAAAATAATAAATTTGCAATCTCTGATATAGAGTTTCCATATTCAGTCGTATGAATAAAGGGTAGCAAAGGTAGCAAATCCCTTTACTCTACCTCCGTCTCTCTTTGCTGCACTGAAGCTGAATATGTTTGTCGCAAAAAAACTTAAGCAAAAGCATGTGGTTCTGTTTTATTCATATGAGCCATTGTATTGATTCAGTTATCTAACCGAAGCTTTAAAAGGTGAAGAATTATGAAATAAAAATTATTGGAGGATATGACTTTGGAGTTTAGTACATTGAAGAATACTATGCTAGAATTGAAAATTATTAGAATTAAATTCTGGGAATTTCGAGCTTATGCCCCAGGTCACCCATAAGACAGGCTCGGGAGACACCGGCGCCTCCCTGGCCCCTAGAGGACAGGTAATTTTAAATTATTTTTTACAGGCCACAGCGGACACAGTTTCTAAAATCTTCGCAAATTACACCCTGATCACTCCCTGGATATACTCTTTTCAGAGAAGATCGACAAGGAAAAAAGGGTGATAGGAATTGTATGTTCGTAAGAGATTCGATAGCAGGTAACTCGGTCACTGCGAAACCTCTTTGAGGAATTTAGTACAGATACACCTGTAGAATATATTTGGTTGAGAACTAAAATTCTAGGTATTGGAATAATAGTAGCTTGCATTTATTGATCCAAAAAGGCCTCGACAGAAGCTCAAAGCCTCCGAAATATCACTACTAGATCTAATTATTGTGAATTACAAAAAATTAATGTTTATTATCCAGTCCGATCTCCCTTTGGGTCTTAGTGGCCATGTGGACATTACTGCCAAATCAAAGCTGCAAGTTATCATTAAACCCACTCGAATCGTCCTTAAGAGGCAATTTTGGAGGAAAGTCTATGGAGCACTTGCAATTACAAAATGTTGACTCAGTTAATCCAAAGAATCCATGGCTAACTAGGCAACTTTTCAGGGAGATTCAAAGAAAGAGTTATGGGACAAATACAGATTAAATGGAACTGATGAAAATTATGCATGCTATGGGAGACAAAACAATCTCACATACCTACTTGAAGAAATCTCCACGCTTTCAGATGAACTTAATTATGCACAAGGAATCACAGCACTGAATTTTTACTGCAGATAGCAATAAAACAACTCAAAGTAGACTGCAGTCCTGGACCAGATGGAATTCCAAGATTTTTTTTTTGAAAAATTGCATACTATCTCTAGAACAACCACTTGCGCATGTTATGGATGATATATTTGCGGATGGTCGTTTACCAGCTCAATGGAAAAGTAAAATTATAATTCCAATGTACAAAAAGGGACTTACAGTCAATTACGGGCTTATAAGTCTTACTTCCGTGCTGTGTAAGTGTTAGGAGAAAATAATCACCGCCGAACTCACGCCATTTTTAAACGACTTCATCCATCCATTGGACCATAGCTTTCTTCCTGATAGGTCTACAGTTGCAAATCTTTTATCAAGGCTACAAGAGTGGAAATTGACTTGGGACAACCAACTGATGTTTTATACATAGATTTTGAGAACCCATTTGACAAGGTGTCTTTTGGAAGGTTGCTATACAAACCCATTCATTTTGGTGTAAGAGGTAGACTTCCAAGGTTCATTGAAGACTTTTCAGAAGAAATAAATTTGAAAGTAGGAATTGGAGAAGTCACTTCCCAAGACATCCGATTTTAAGTGGAAAGTGGAGACCCTCAAGGATCAGTCTTAGGTCCGTTACTTTTTAATTTTTCTTACTTTCATCAGTAACCTACCCTCTGGTCTCCTTGTATCAAAGTCAGTCCTTGTTTGCTGATGACTCCAACTGTTATTGCAATCCTTTGTTACAAAGAAATGACATACAGCGTGATATAATAAGTACAGTAAGGAAATGGAGCATTGACTGGAAATTGCCTCTCATTCACGACAAATGTGTCATTCTTCACCTATTTTATTGGACAATAATGCCTATTGTAGAGGTGGAACATCACAAAAACAATTATCATCACTAAGGTCCTCAAGTGGGAAGTCCATATCAACAGCATAACCAAAAAGGCCAACACTGATATTGAAATTCCACAAGGCCTATGTCAGACCCAAATTGGAATATTCACTATAGTCGAGAATCTGATGTCCAAAAAGTGGCAAGGGGGGCAGCAGTTAAGGGTATAAAATTGAAAAAAATTGTTTGGAATGTAAAATCATATGCTGGATTTGATTTTGGGATTCTCCCTCAAATCGGGACTTGCGAAAGCGCTAAATTGTCAGCCTACTCGTATCGACTTGCAGCGTGCAAATTATCAGTTGCAGTGAATACCTACTTGCAATGTAGGTATTCTACATATATGTTCATTATATGTTATAAATATCTGGAAAACCACATATTAATATTTCAATATGAATTTAGACGGTAAGTTTAGTTTGCCAATTGTAAATAAATTGGAATATTTTACGGAAAATATTTAGAGTTCACTTAACTTTGTAAGCCATGAACACGAACAGTACAATGATAGAATGTTTATTTCTGTAGATGAAACTATCAACTATGGGCTCTGTATGATATGCCAAAAAATTACCTCTGAAACGTTGCAAATTATACAAAAATCATTATATTCGCTGAAAGAGGCATCACAAATTAAAACAGATTTGCGTTGGGTTATTTTTATACAATGTTCTACAAAATGAAGTAGAAATCCTTTATGACATGCAAAGTGCAGAAGATCTTATACCATAATCTATATATATAAAACACAGTTGTGTTTTGTGGAAGCACTTATAACTCGAGAACGGCTGGACTGATTTTTATGATTTTTGTTGTATTGGATTTGTCTTTGTCTATCCTAACATAATAAATCGAAAAAATCCAAAAAAAAACAAAACAAAAAAATTACCTTTTTTACTTATTTATGAAAAAAAATTAATAAGCCTGCATACGGCGCCATCTCTTATAACCGATACCAAGTTTAACGTCACATTTTCATTGCAAACCATGTGGATTTTATTGTCACACACTTTGCACGAAAACAATTTAAGGAAAGCACTTTACTTTCAATTGTTCATCACAATAAAAATGTCCAAAAATAATTAGAATTACAATGTTTTAATTGTGTATTTTATTTTGTTGTTGGTCCATTCCGAACTGGTCTTCCTGTCATTTCTTGACGCTTGACCATCGACGTTCTGTGGCTAAGTTCCGTTTCTCCTCTCAGGCATCCCTTGACAGCCGTGTTCCGTGCCGACTGTTCGGAGTGCTCCGTCCGGCTGGTGTCGAGTGGCAGAGAGCCAGGTTATGAATCCGCCACAACCATTTTGTATACGGCGCCATATATGATACCTAGAACGAAGCTCACCGATGCGCGGTAATTTCATTGCAGATGCAGTAGAACCATGCTGCCCAGGAACTGGAGATATTTAGAACAGAACTATTCCACTATTCTGATCAGATAGAGTGGTGCAGAAAGAGTAGATCAGATAGAATAGTGCAGATAGAGTAAAACAGATGGAGTAGTGCAGTGCAGATAGAGTGATACAGGGCTGCGCTGTAGATTTTTTTCTGTTTTCTTTACATTCCTTGAACATTCCTGTGCCTGAGTTTATTTATTTGGTGGTACACTTTACAAGAAAAATGCCCACAAGCTGCCTTGAAAGGGATGATGTAAAATTTTAATTTTAGGTGACTTCTGATCTAGAGAGTAAACATTTATTCTTCAACCAAAGCCAAATTCACCATCGAAAAAAACTGAATTTAATTCAGCTAATAGATACGTTAACACAACATTTAATAGGTATTTAATAATTCAGAGGCGGTACGAAGTTCGCCGCCGGTTCAGCTAGTTGCCTATAAAAAAAAATGTCAACGAGACCCCAACGATATTGTTTTATCGAGTATAGAGAAAAAATATAAAATAGAATGTGAAAATATATGTTTCTGGCGACATAAAGAATGAGATACCAGAGGTAATCGGAAGCTCATCCTAGTTTCCTTTTCCAGAAGTAGAACACTTTATTCATTGCTGCAAAAAATCGAAGGATTTGGACATTCTTGCATCGATATGATTTCCTGCAAGTTTAGGTATCATAATATATGTATGACAGACTTCCTTAGACCGAAACTTATTGATTCCAATAAAGCGACAAAAGCTGATATTACGTAATACAATGACATTTCTGAACAAATTTTACCAGATTTAAAGATAAAATTGCTTTTGAATAACGAAGTTCTTACTGTCTCCGATATCGGACATCTACTTAACACGAAAGCTAAGGACCACAGACTCTACTGGACTGGAACATATTGAAAAAACGATGAGTTATCGGGATAACTAAGAAGCAATTTCGGTGAGAACATCATAGTAATAAATCGAGGGCAAGGTCTCTCTAACTATATTATTTTAACTTTCTTATTCTTCTGATTGATACAGAACAGGAAGATAGCCCGATAAATAAAAGTGAGGAAAAAGTGCAAAAAATATAATTGAAAGATCAGCACTCTAGTCATTTTCATTGTGCCCAAATGTTGAAATCCAGTAGGTATATCTGCCTTTCCTAAGTTTCAGCATTCGAAAAAACCAGAGAATTTTCAAAAAAATGTACCTATTCCACCT